ATTTTCTTGTGCTTCGGATGGGGGTTCTAACTATTTTCTCCTTAAGAAATCTGGTTTTACGGTCCCCCTCCTGGTAATTATTGCACAGTCCCAGCGATGATTGAATTGCGCGGCAATAGAAAGGCTTCTTTCACAACTACAGACAAGTATTCACAGTTATTAATAATTGCACGCTTAACGGTTCTCGTTTCTATGAAAAGGCACGACGCAGGTAAGACTATTTCCAGTTTTCTCAACTAATTCTTTCCACACCTTTTGTTCAACATAGCCCTTCCATGAATACATCTGAACGACGATTATGAATTCCTGATCAAATAGTCCAAATGCTATCGATATTCTATCTGGTACACTCATGGGTATTTCCCTTCCAGTGAATCAATTGTACATCAGTCTCTTTGTCCGTAGATCACTCAAACATTGAGGAGCAAAAACTAGTACTTATGGAATCAGTCTAGTTTCTACTGTGATGACAACCAAATTTACCCCGCCCCTGTTAAGAGAAAAAAATTCACGCATGGCTAAAATTTGGCGTTTATTAGGTCAAATATKGCGTTGTAAATTCGGTCAAACTACAAGATATTGTACACAGTAATGACATAGCCTAAAACACCCTTTTTTAGCCTGTTCTTTGAAAGTTTTAGGCAGACAAAGTGAAGACGAAAGCTAACAAAAATGGGAAATCCTGAAACCACCATTATTGCGATGACTCCTGCTAAAAAAAGCTAAAACCTCGAATTTGCCAGCTACTTGTTTTGTTTGTTTCAGTCGCCATTTTGGTTAACAGCCAAGGAAATTCATGTGATAGACTGCTGGCTAAATCTAATGATAAATAAAGAAAGAAAGCGCGCCAAAATGCGAATTTTTTAGTCCACTTTTGTACTCTGACAGTMCTCTCGGTAGCGTTTGTAAAAAAAATTATACATCCGTACTACAGAATGTCTGATTGACGACGAAATTGCTTTCAAAAGCCCTTCAGAAAAGTTGTTAATGAGCAACCGCAGACCAAAATCATCACGGTAACAAAATGTCTCGGATTGCTGGTAATGCCATCTGACGGAAAATATCGGCGGTGATCACGATGCCACATGTTCTTTTTTTTCTTTTTTTTTACACTTCGCAGCATCATCGACGTCAGTAGCACTCTGTTCCATGAAGACCTGCTGTCTTTCTGTCTTGGCATAATTACAACGTATTGTCTGAAACTGTCTTAGCAAACAATGGTAATGCCCCRTGACTATTCCTGTCACTGATGACATTGTATTTGTAATAAATCATCTTGACAACACACCTGTTAGAGTGAATTACATAAAGGTAAAGAAGATCATATTCTTAGTGCAATACGATATCAAGTAGTACCAGGATGGTTCAATTCGCGTCGACTATAACAGTAGTCTGTAGGGGTCTAGACCACTTTTAAAGGGTGTAAATACCTGTAGGTAGTGGYATCTACAGTAAATTTTCAAGAAGAGCGTTATTATACGTTTGCAGTAACCATGCAGAATAGACTTCATGATACCATATTATACCAGTTTATTATCTTTACTGGTGAAGAGCCCATTTCAACTTTTTACGTCAGAGAAAAGCATAAAATGCATCACATCAGCTACATACCAAACACCCAGGATCTAACAGACATGTAAAAAGAGATGTGAATAAGAAAAGCTTAAAATTGGGCGGATTCGTACACACTACACCCCATGCATCCACTGGTAAAACGTCTGATAAATCGAAATCTGATGACTTGTTTGAACCTAATAAACCCCACTAATCGCATTCGTGTAAAACAGCAACAACTCTCACAGTGAAAAAAACCATGTTTGTTGTCATAGTTGTAAACTGTGGGTGAGCCAAGATGCAATGTATAGTTCCCTAATTCCTAGTATTTGATGAGAAGATCTTCTGGGTATTTATAAACAGTGGATCGGCGTTATGGCGGTGAGTGTTTGTTGACTCTGAATCGCATATAATATATACATTTATCATATAATTATCTATAAAATACCTATATTTCTCAATTTCGTAAAGGTGTGAAAATAWCACATTCGAGGTTTCTCTATATAGTGGAAGTAAGAAAAAAGGTATTTTACGATAYAATTTGMTTTCATATGCAATTATATATGATAAACAAAATATTACATGGTCGCTTGGAGATACGAATTCTTTCTCTCGTAGTGTTGAAAATCTTTTCAGATCCGCATTTCGAAGATAAAATCCGTATTTTCGCGCGCCCWTGTAATATCCTCTATATTTTAAAAGTAAAATTTTCCTAAATAATGAATATTATTTAGTACAGTATTAGTTTATATTGTGATGAACATTGCATTCTGCTCAAAGTTTGTGGTCCRTCGAAGTCTATCTCAGTGTTGTGAGTGCTATTACATTTCGGTCCGGTTTATATATTTGTGTATTCTACACCACTCATAATCCATTTTTATCATTGCAATCATGTAGAACTACGTATGAGTGTAGTAGTTTTTTTTAAAGAGTGCAACTGATTTCTTTCAACATTTCGGTCGTCACCGTCTAAAAACCATTCCAATTTCCTAAACAAAAAGGTCTTGTTGTTAACCGTTACTATTCTTGACTCTAAATGAGGATTATCAAAACCTGGATTCAGTTAAAAAGATTTCTATAATGCCGAGGAAATGACTCTGTTTTTGAATTTCAGCAAACTTATAGTATTTCCGCGACGTTGTTCCTCGTCGTAGTTGATATTTCAAATTGAACCACGAGAAAACATTTGAAATAAAGACTCACTTATTTACAGTAAGTTATTTCTCATACTTTTTTACGGTGTTAAACTTATCTTCTTTACACAACTGTTTCTTTAGAAACACCGACGCAGCTCACACTAGTTTACCGCTAGTTCCCACCACTCACTTATTTAAGTGTTTTTGGAAAGACTGACTGATTCACAGTGTATTTGCATTAAGGAACATGTTACTAGCTTTCTATTAGTCCCCGTGCAGGGTCAAACGCCTCGAACTGACATCTCTTCCATGAATTTCAGGAAGGCAACGTTTTTGGCCTGAAATGGTTGAAAAGCTTTGTGTGTGTGTTTGATCACAAGGTATCAGCAATGAATTAAGATTTYAACAGAGGCAAATGAGCTGGAAAAAATGACTTTAACATGTTGAGCAACTGAAACTGGAATTTGGCACTGCAAAAATTCGCCGTTTGAACCAGGCCTTAGACATACAAATGCCATTGATACGGACTTGGTATTTCTTAGATTACTTGCCTAATTAGAATTATTGTATAAAGATTTTATGTCTACCCTCTTAATTGCCCCGTTTCCGTATCCACTTCTCATTAGATAG